TGATTTGTTTTAGACAAAAATTTGAAAAATTAGTTCAATGTAATGTATTAATTTACTTATTACTTATATAGACATATAGTTATTGCAATATAAATATATAATAAAATATTCTTATAGGAATATAACATAATATAAGCATCATATAACTATATTAGTAAATGCTTAGAATCATTTTTTGTAAGCAATGATTTTCTATTGTCACACTATTGTGTTCAGTGTTGAATCCAGGTATACTTCAGGGGGGCGGATGCCCCCCTTGACAAATACAATTTTCTGTCTTTCAACAAAATGTACCTATTTATTAAATGCACAATACTAATTTAAAAATAAATAATTAATAGGTTTCTAATTTATTTTGTAATTTTTTCAATATTTATAATTTCTGAATTGTAATAAATTATAATAATACAATTTATAATATGTGACGACCTTTATATTAACCTTAGATTGATTTAAAAATTTAAAAATTAATAATTTGTTTTATAACTTTTTAAATATTTATAATTTCTGAATTGCTATAAATAATAATAATAGCCAATAGGTAATACGATTTATAATGTGTGATAACCTTAGATTGATTTAAAAATTTTAAAAAAATTATTTGTTTTTAATTTGTTTTGTAGTTTTATATAAATTTGAAATGTCTAAATCAGCGCTTCTCAACCTGTGGTAAGCGTACCACTAGTGGTACGCTGAAAGCTCATAGGTGGTACGTGAAGAAAATCTACCTTTATAAAAAATTAATTTATTAACAAAATTCTATACATAWMACATAAACGTATACATTATTAATAAGCGAAAAAATTGTCAGGTGGTACGTACAAATTTTCAAATTGTGTAGGTGGTACGTGACTATAAAAAGGTTGAGAACCGCTGGTCTAAATTATAAATTGTAATAAGAATAAATACCTATTAATTAATAGATAATATATAATTCATAATACTAAAATGACGTATCACCATTCACCAATGAAAAAAAGTGAAAAAGTGTGGGCCCCCCCCCCAGAAAAATTGKCTGGATTCAACACTGATTGTGTTCAAATTTAACAAATCCATTAATAGCAGTGACTTACACGCTGAGGAACCTTCGACATTAACTTAACTTTTTATTGAATTTATTGAATTTATTGAGATGAAATTCAACAAAACCTTAATATTTTTAAGTTATTTTGTACTGATAGTTAAGAAATCATACAATTTAAAATTTAAATACATTTTACTAGAAAATGTAATTTAAAGTTCTTTATAACTTATAAGTTATTTCACAGAATTTTAAAAAGATTGAAAATTGACATAGGTACACAATTTTCTTTGTTAACATTTAATTTAATTGAAGTTTTAATTTTAAGTAGTATATTTTAAATTATTAACGAAAAATTACGATTTTAATTATTTCCCAGTAATTCAAAAAATATTAATCGCAGTGACTTGACACTTTTCATCATCACGTATATCTAAATACATATTATTTTCTACGCAAATAAATTTTAAAAATATTTTTTTTTAAAGCGGTTAGTCATGGATGTCGCTCTGCTGTACAGTAGGTTACTGTAATGGATGGGATTAAATTTGAATGCAATGATAGGTATCATTGTATACGAAAAACGAATCTGAACGGAGATAATTTGTCAGTCTAGGATATATTATA